AATTGTTTGCCACCGATTAAAATATCAATTAAATTTAAATTGAAGTGCACACATTTTAGCTTACATTATGATTTGAATTTCAGTTTTAAATCGGAATATTGTTTGAGGTTATGTCTCTAGTCGGAAACACGTGGCTGTCATGCCCTTCTCTAGCGTAACCGGCTGCTGCGGTTCAGGGAGGGGGAAGTGCAACTGTCCTTATATGCGTGTGTCCCTAATCATTGAGGTGTTTGGACCATTTCGATTTCGCTTTTATTTTTTATAGTGCTGAACTTTTTTACATTTTGTACTCTTACTCCTGCATTTGAAAATTCGTGCGCCGCCATTCAAAACATAAGAAAATGCTTTTCTGACGTTCAATCTGTTGCTGAATGAGTGTTTTTACGATCTGAGGAAAACCATTGCAAGAATAATAATTTGATTCACGTATTTGTCTGTACTGGGGTCGTTTGCGTGGCGACGGTCGGCAGTTAAAAAAGAATCTTGGTAACTATACACAGTCGGTTGCAATGCTCATCAGGTCTTCCTTCACGTACGAAATACGTGCAAGGACACTCCCGTATATATTCTTCTTGTGCATGGGATTTAAATCATAAATATATTATTTTTAAACTTCTTTAAGACAAGCTTTATTTATAAATGAGTTACTATTATTAGATATTCTTACACATCAAGCCATGCGCTTTGAGCTTTGTCATTTTCAAATGTAGGTACCATTCTTTTGTTCCTCTCGTTCATAGAAGATCGTACCCCTATCCTTTCATCTACCAACTATATTCTATGTAATCGTCTATTTCCCGACTTACCGTCCCTTCCGACGGGACCTTGTACGTTTATTTCTAAATTCTTCGGGCCGTTTTTCATTGTAAATACCAACATATCTTGAAATTATTTTAACTGATATATAGAGCCGGTTACGTTAGGTCTCTACGTACGTTCCGACGCTCCCTTTTCCTGGAGCTATAAGTGAAATACAACCAAATTTTTCACACTCAAACACTTGCGGTCCTGAAATGAATTACTATATTGTACAAGATTCTGCCTTTTTTCGTAATATGAGTTTCACATTTTTTCGGTTGCTTCCAATACAAATTCAATAGAATTTCAATCCAGATTCCAACTTTTGGTCTCTTCCGACGGGATCTTGCAGGTTTATTTTCAATATGCCCAATGAGGAAGTTACTTTTGAACATTTTGACACCCACTTCGGAGTGCTTCCTGTTTTAACAATTAGTGAAGTAATTCTTTAAATATTTAGTAATTCTGGTAATTTTTAAGTCTTTTTTCTTCCACCCCTACTAATTTGTATCTCCTACTACTAGACGCATATTCCTTTAGTTTTTTCGTCCTTATTCGGACCGTATGTTACTATAATTGTTATCGTTTCGTCCTATTTTCAATGTAATTCCTCTGATGTTAATTCTATATCGCTGCCTGTTTGATTTTTGGTACTCCACTGTATAAAAATAGATGCCACCCTCCCCGTACAATATTTCTTGTCCTTATTGTCTTTGTTTCAGTTTTATTAAGGGCTAGTCACCTTCCAGTTGCTGCTCTTTCCCTTTTATACTTCGTATATTATGTTCCAGTAGTTCTCTTCAAGTTTATATTGTTTCTGGCACATCCCTTCCATTATCTGTAGTTGATTACTATAGCGCGTTCAGATGCAGCATAGTGGTTATGGACATACCTATAGTAGGTACATGCTTGCCAAACTTATTAACAAACGTGACAATGACAAAAGGAGAGTTGTGTTTTTACTTCAATTCAATCATATGCCAGTTTGGCATCATTGTGGTGGAGGTGCGAACGCAGTATAGTTGCGTTATCCTGTTCTCTCACCGTGTTCGTTAACTGTTTTCTAAGTTTGCACCTTTGGCCGTGTTACCTCCGCTGCTATAGGTTTTTGAGTGGAGCTAAATCTTTTGCGAGAAGTACTGGCTCGTTAATTTGTTTGTTCGGTTTCCGCATTATCTTCGCATTAGGAAATTTTTTTCTGATTTGTTTGAGTCAGTTTCAAATTCTGTTCAGTTATGAGCAAAAATAGAATGAAAATGCCTATTTCGGGTTTTCGTATTTTTGTTTACCAAGGAAGGATGTTAGGGACCTAGGGTTAATTTTTTGTAGGCCTAAAAGTTCTCGCAAGAATTAGCGAAAATCATTACAAATTATACTTTAACTTCCAAAAAATTCATAATTTTCAAGTTTCACAAAAAATAAAAACCATTAGTTTTACTGGATTTTTCTGTATTTTGTTGTGTTCAACGCGTGTAATTATACTACTACTAATATTATTACAGTTTACCATTTCCGTTGAATCGTTATGAAAACAATTGGAAGATGCATGGGCAAATATATTTTTATTAAATTCAGTAGAAGAGGGATAAAAATCACATTCGCCAATCCATAACTGTAGAAGGAATGCATCCTTTCCTATAAATTTATTTTCATTATATAACCATGATACACCCATTGGTTTTATGATTTGCATAAATAAGAGTCATGTTTGCAGGGTGCTTAGAAATCCACGACGAATTTTTTATGTTTACTAGTAGATGCTACTCTGAAATACTCGTATACGATCAATTTGTACTCTATAACTAAAATGAAAGGTTTTTGTATCACGTTAACCGAAAATTTGTTTAGCCGCAGTAAGTCGTGGAAATTTGAAACAGTCGAATGCGGTGTACAGGGTGTTGAGGATGACCATATGGATCTGGGAAACCGTAAAAGGTTTACTTCTATTAAAGGCAAATAATCGCATATAGTAAAAATCAGATGCGCCCATGCACAGTGCCAATTTTCTTATTTATGGAGATATTTCTTTCAAATTTTAACCAAAGATGCTTTTCGTAAAACCAAACGTATTGTATATTGAAACATCAGATTAATGTGCGCATGCGCAGGATGCGCAATATCAATTGCCTTTAATCACAGATGCTTCTGTTAAAGATGAACATATCTCATATTGTAAACATTAGATATGGGCATGCGCATTCTTCAAAAGCTGGTCCCTTTCAAATTCTAAACTTTTCTCGCCGTTTAAAGTCCAAAGGTTGGTCGTCGTTCAAAATCCAAACGTCGGTGTAAAGTTCAAAGGTTGCTCGCCGTTTAAAATCCAAAGGTTGGACGCCTTTCAAGACAACCTCAGTCAGACGGTCAGACGGTAATAAAACTCCAACATTTTGTCTGTATTACCGTTTACCCTTTGCGTTTAAGCTAGTAATCGTAGGACGTCGCCAAGAGAAGTAGGGCTTGCGAAACAGCAGGGGTTGTTGAAATTTTGAAAATTTACTTTAATACCAAATATACGGTTACCAAGTATTTCTAAATTCTTGAGCATTTTTTTCGCCACAGAGTGCCACAGTATTTGTTGTTAAAGTGTAAAAGTTAAGATAATTTTTTATCTACAAAAGGTTTTCCTGGATCATTGTTTCTGCTAGAAAGCACTTTATTCCGAAATTTTATTGTTTCTACTTTATTTCTTTATAATTAAAAATGCATTTGCACTGTTCACCATGGCCGTCATAGTACAAATCAACTCAACAACGAGGTTGACTTTTGAAACATTTTTGTGTTAAAAGGGGCGTTTCTTATCAACGCAGTATCGTGTTAATTCAGCATCCTCTAGAGTCTAGATACTGTTATTTTGTAAGTGTATTGAATTTGTGATGAGTAGAAAATAGTACAACTAAAGAAGAAAGTTTCTTCTCAAGTTTTACACATAATTTTTTCTGAAACTACAATTAACATTCAAAAATTATTGTTTGCAATAATGAAGTTTGACACATAGTAATCTAGATACCTGCATGTTTAAATTTTAAACGTCAGTATTAAGATTAAAGCAGCAATTGTTTTTTACTTTCCTCACTAGAGAGGAAAATCACATTTACTTCACCCGTTTTAGGAACGAAAGAAGTTGTTTCCAAAGTAATTTCAGAAAAACATTGCTACTACCCTGGTGAATAATGTTCCAGCCTACAACCGTAGAAAATTGCACCCATTTTCTCTAGGTTACTGTGCTACTGTCGATTATGGCTACAGTTGTCAAAATGTATAATTTATTGCAAAGACACCAATTTCGGTTTTACCATTGATAAGGAAATCAGATTTCACTCAACGGTTTTATTGAAGAATTTTTCGCCAGGATCTCTATCTAGATCTTCTCTTAATATTCCAAGGTCATGTTCAAAAATCGATACTAAACCATTGCTTTTTAGTTACAGAGTAAAACCTCAACAATACGTTTACCGTAGAGAGCATCTCGTCTTTGGAGCATTTATGGTAAGTAGCATCATAATATAACACAATATACTATACCTACGTACACTAACTAAAATTTGCTGTGAAGTAAGAGAGCGCCTCTGCTGTGTTGATGATAACGTCAGTTAGGCTTTGTCGAGGAACCGACCAGCGTCTCTGTAGAGTATACATACAAAATACAATGGGATAAATGTCTCCGTAAAGAACTTAAAAAATATGTTTATAGTCCTTACTGATTATAATGGAATTTTTAATGGCACAGAAGAAAATCTTTACCGGTATATGACGATAATAACCATCAACGAAAAGATCATTACTTATGCAAATATTGTACATTTTACAGCATGATTAAGTTGAAATGTGCGTGTCTCTCACACTTATTAATCACAGTACCTTTAGATTTCTTGATGAACCTTCTGTATACACCGTGTATTGCTGTCTACAGAATGTACCGCCTTCGTTATTAATACACATTTGACACAATCTGAGTGTTTAAGGGGAGATTGTCTTAAGAGATTATGGTTTATTACACTATTTTGCATTTTTATTTGTGTATTTTTCTTAATATCGTTATTTTCGTAATTCTACTTTTTACGCAGATATTTCCTAGGACAAATGGCATTACGTTTACGTTGGATTTTATCGCTTGAAAACAATTATACACAGTTTAAATGAAAATTAGATCATTGCTTTAATGGCATTTCCCTTACCTATTCACGAACGAAGCGCGTGGTAGTTTTACGGAAGTTTACATATCTTACACGTAAATAAGTTCTTGAGGAACTTCCCAAATCTGACACAAATGTTATTTGTTTCAATTTTAACAAGCGCTGGATACTCAACATAAGGCAGAGTAGTTACTATTACATCTAAGTCGCAGTTATCTGCTCTAATCATGCGGAAATTTTGCAAGTAAAGGGTATCTACTTCTTCTTCATTCGGGTGTTGCGCTATACTTGTCTCCGACTCTCGACCACCAACAACAAAGTCACGAAACAAAATGTCATGGCGGCAATTCTGATATGTTAAAACCCTTAGCGTTTTATCCTAAGAGAATGAGGTGGATTATGCGCTTCTGTCCTTAACCATGCGATACCTGAAGATCCTCCAGAGAATCTTCGCTTTTGGACAGGTTCTGTATGGGTTTACACAGGTGTGTACTTCCAGGCGAATCGGTCACGCACGACGTTGCTTGCTCTCCATCTTCACTATTCAAGATATTCTACAATAAAGGGTATGTCAGATACAATATAAAGAAGGATTCGGTCTCACGATCAAGAACATTTTGACATTGGCAGTTGACAACCTTCAACGGATTTTAACCTACATGACTCATACAAACAATTTTTTTTATTAATCCTTTATCTTAAAATCAATTTTTGATCACCAAGGTTAATAGTGATCGTATATCATTGCCAGCGGGCGGTTTTTGGTGAATCGCGTGCCGCACGCTTGTATCATTCTTGTTGAACTGTTGAAACTATGACAAATTGTACCTATACTCATATAATAAAATTGTTCCGTGAGTGTACTTGTACATCGGTAACATTTTTGTATAAGAAATTATGTGCGAGTAAGTTACTTATAAAATAGAGGGTTAAGATGAGTCGTATAGTATTTTGATCATCGTTTGGAAACTTCCTGGAATTTAGGCCGACATTTTTTTACATTTAAGGTTTTGCCTTCATTCATACACCTGGTCTTACACGTTCTAGTTAAATGTATCTGATCGATAACCTGGGGCGTAATACTGTTACAGGTCCATTTTTAGTTAAGTTTTGCTTTAGTTATTTTGATTTTTAGGTTAGGAATTTGTTTATTTTGTTTTGATTTTCATCACATAGGCGTGCCTATTTTCTTAAATTTCTTCTTTCGATTTCTTCGCTTCTTTGAATTCTTGCTCTCCTCTTACAATTGTATTTACCTTTTCACGCTTTAAACGCTTTTCCTTTCCTTACTGTTTTCACTATTCTAATTTTCGAAGCTTATGTGTACTATTTTATTCCATGTTACGCCTCTGGTCCGCTTTCAGTGTCATCTATTGTCAGTTCTTGTAAACTACGCTATTCTTTCCCGCTCTTTTCAAAAATCTATTCTTCTTTTCCCGCTGGCTTTTTATGTTCCTTAATTATTGGTATTACTGTTCGTTTTTTTCAAATTCTTCTACGTTTCGTTTCCGTTTTTGGTCAATTGTCAATTGTATGGTGTGCTTGTGAGGTGCGGAATTTTTGCAGCCGCTTTCATCCGAAAATTTTGGGATTTCTACCCTCGTCCTATAGTCTCCACTCATTACCAGGAATTGGTATTTCTTCCTTGGAAACCCTATTTTGGGGATTAAGAGTGGAAGAGGAAGCGCATTTGTGTTTGTGAAGTTATCTACAACCAATATATTATATATGTTACCCTTGCTCGCCGGATTTCAACCCTTGATCCGAGCTTTATTTCACCGTCCACCAATTTAATTGAGCCTACATACATATCTATATATTGTCTCTACGTTAAGGCCCACGCCATCTCGTAAGTAGCCTTTTTGTGATAGTTGTAGCTCGTAATGTTAGGTTTTTGTTCTAGGGCCTTGTAGTTTTAGTTATTTTTGTCTATACTTGTTATACGTACCTATCTACTACTAAGAAATCTTCGTCTTCGTCCATCTCCAGTCTTCAGTCGTCCGTCTTCAATCTACAGTCGTCGTCTTCAGTCTTCAATCTTCTTTCGATACCCTCAAATTTCTTTTTCCGCCGAACAACTGCTGAACAACTTCAGGAGCCAGAACAGCTAAGTTCAAGTTATCTATTCACCTTAAAAATAAAAAAAAAGTTAAGTTTATTTAGAAAAAAAAACCCATCACATTAATTCAGTCACCCTACATCTTAATAAGTAATTGAGTCAAATTTTATTGTTTTGCTGTGAGACGAGATCTCGTACCGTTTTCTTTTTTTGCCGTTTTTCTTCCCTGTTATCATTCCGTGCCATTATCAATCATCATCATTCGCCCTACAATATCTGTGTTAAATTCTTGATTTCCTTGAAGAATAAATACCTTTTCTTTCCCGCTATCTTTCTCTATTTCTTTTTTTTAGTTTTACCCCTGCATTTCCAGACCAACAGGAGCAGGTTTCTAATTTTTTTCCTGTACGGCTTGGAACTATCGAAAAATTAGTGGCGCCTAAATTTTCGGAGCATTTATAGGTATTTCTTTCAGGATCGTCGAACCACCCCTACCACCGAGAGCAGCTGGAGCCGTAGTGCTGGGTTTCCTATTCCTTATCTACCTTATAGGTAAATGGGGATAAAACGGTCTCAGTAAGTTACTAAGTTACTGCAGATTGGTGACGGATCGAACAGCCTCTCTTGAAGTAGACAGTAGGCAATGAAATCTTAACTTGCTTGGAAACAAAACCGAATATTGTGTTGGTAATATAAACAGTCTGATGGATATGCAGCAATTTAAGAATCGTAAAGAACGGACGAATCTGAACCACAGCTTACTAAGCTGTGTCTGAACGATCTAAAGATTAACTGAAGGATCCGAAATATTAGCAGTATTCCGAAGAGAAGGATTCAAAGAGTGTACAACTTGAAGGATGGAAATACTACTAAAATAGGAAAATGAAAGAAATTCTGCAGTCTTGCAGGGTAGGACAGAAAAATTTGAACTACATTTTCTGAAAATCCTAAGAATTTGATGATTGTGAATAAATCGAGCAAAAGAAAAAATCTAAAGAAATGTAGGAGTCAGAAGGGCCTGATAAGTCTAAGAAATAAAAATAATCGAAGAAACCGAACTGAGGGTAAATAATTAAAAGAACCCGCCGATTCCAGAGAGGCAAACGAATCCGAAGGATAGGAAGTTTTAAAACTGAAAAATTCGTCGACGCGATCAATCGGAAAACGGAAGAATGTCAACTATTTGAAAGAAACGACTGAAATATTTGAAGACCTAATGATTCACTGAGTCACATGTAAGCAGTGCCGGATTTAGGGGGGGGGGCTATATTAGTCTCCGGCGGTCAATTTTGAGAGGCGGTACGTCGTCGCTCCCATCACGTTTTAATTCTAAATGTAGATATTTAATTTATGGGGTTCAGTTTCCGAAATAACATGGTAATAAAACTTCGTCTCTTCACCTATAAGATCGATGCCGGAGTCGGACTGCCGGCGGTAGCAGGTCGCTGGGTCGCACAAAAACCCTAGCAAAAATACGTTTCATGTTTTCGGGAAATCTACACTTTGCTGACAAACGACAAAGGGGCGTTTTATTAAGCGGCAGAGCAAAGCAATGCAAGCTTTATTAGGGGAGTCGATGGTGTCCGTCTGCCCGTCCGTCCGCGAACACGATAACTGTCAAACGCTTGGACGGATTTGGTTCAAAGTTTGCACAGTGGACTTATATACCACATGTAAAAAGCCAATTGAAAATGGGTCAAATCCAATGACCCCGTAGGGTCACACCGAGGTGCTCTGTCGCTTTTTTAGATGCTCTTTATTACCTCATCATCCGTAATCTACCTCTATTTTCTATTAACTATATTGTCGGGCACATTTACTTGTTAAACCCTTATTACAAACAATTATTAAGCGACAGAGCAAAGCGATGTAAGCTTTATATAGGGGAGTCGATGGTGTCCGTCTGTCCGTCCGTGAACACGATTCGGTTCAAACTTTGCACAGTTGACCTACATGCCACATATGACAAGCTGGGTGAAATCCAATTATCCCGTGGGGTAAACCGAGGTGCTCTGTCGCTTTTTTAGACCCACTTTAGGGGTTTATTTAAACTTCAGTATTGTTTTGTCTCAGCACCAGGCGCCAGCGTGTCCGATTCTGACACGCCGTGTCGTCAATTTTTTTACGGAGCGAAAAAGAAAGAGGTGCATTTTGGAAACGACAGGAGTTAGGAAAACAAAAAAAATTAAATGAAGTGCAAAAACAAAGATTCAGCTATTTTTCCCTACCTACTGGCAGTATAGTATGACTTAGCCCCCGGCGGTCCATGAACTAAATCCGGCACTGCATGTAAGCGCCATTCTGGATCAAGTAGGCATTTGTAATAGATGCCAGTGACAATTTTCAGTCCCGTCCTCGCGAACACAAAACAAAGCAACACGAATTAGATTAAAAGTTAATAAAAAGCAGGACACTCACATCTCGCCCTCCAGTGGAATAACTCCGGTCATTGCAGTAAGAAATGTTTATCCTGAATGTGCAGAGAAGCGGGTTCAAGCAACGTCGAAAGCACGGATAAACTAAAACTGAATAAATAAAGGACTGAAAGCTTTCATCAATAGAAACAATTTGTGATTAAATCCCCATGAATTGGAAAAATTAGTTGTGGTTGACTTTGGGGAAATATTATAGCGAATATTCCAGAACGACATCGGGGCGCCAACCAGTCGATAAAGTATTAGTCACCGTCGATAATGAATGAAGCCGGATGTGACGCATTCTTTTCGGGAAATATGGTGTGTTTAATCGAGAATGTTGTAGAAGCTTTTGTTTGCTATTTATATAAGCAAATTTAATCATGTTTTATTTTAGTCCTAATATCGATGCGGAAGTGATAATTAGTGGAATTCGTTATAAAAGTGCATGTTATAAATTTCAGTACAAGTCCTAAATAATAAATTACTGTTATGAATTAATCTATTTATAAACCGTTAGAAATCCTTTAATAATTAATAATTAATATGTGTATAAAATACCGGGTGTTAAGTATGTCAAAGAAAATTGAGTGGCAAAGTCTAAGTAAAGCAGTGGTCGTTTTCTCCAAACGTAGCCCCCCTACGACCCCAACTCCATAATGGGTGATTCTCCTTTAATTCTTATCAGCAGCTATAACATCCAGAACGAGCGCTTTTACCCAGGTTTTTTAGTACATAATCAGCCCTGTGATGTATCAGAAACGTCAAACTTAACGTTCAGGTTATCTGCCAAAAAGGCAAAATGACGTAGAAAAGTTAAAGAAACCAAGTCTGAAACATATGAAAATTATAGGATGCAAAATCGTGTCGAAAGAAGATGGATCGTAAAGCTATGAAAGGCATTTTGATCGGGTACGACAATGATGATGTACAGGTGTGAAGAAACTAGGGAACTGATAAAATCTAGAGACGTTTCTTCGACGAAAAACTTCTTTCCAAAACCAAATTGATTGAATCGAATATGAAGATACTTCTGAAAGTAGACAGTTGAGGGATAGATCTCAAATCAAAAGACCAGCAAGCTTGATTATTTTGTAATGAATGTATCCAGTGATTGGAAATCAAAGAACCACTGAATAATAATGAAGACATGAGCAGTAATCAGCGGGTTCAACGGTAACAAGCAA